TGTCAATGTCTGGACCTCCTCAAATTATTTTGAGTATGAAAGTATAGAAATTTTAAATTACTACTGTGCGGATCTATTACGCACATACATACATACATACATATATACATACACTAATACAAATTACATACAACGACAACCATTCATTGGTTAATTAATCACCACTATGTTATTATAGACAATTTACAAATCGCATCAATGCGACAATTTTGTAATCGCTCTATTTTTATGTAGTCAGTTTTGTGCACTTTTGGGAGAAATGGATCACAGAAGTTTTCTTAAGTCTCCCCAAAACTCGCTCGCTGGTTGGTCAATGCCAGCCAATCAGATCGTCTGCACGTGAAGAATAATTCTTCCCGCGCAACCATTTGGAGCCCATAGTCACTTATTTAAGCCAAGATTTTTCTTAGCTAATTAGTGAGAATTCAGCTGCCAAACGAATCCACGACAGTTGAAACCAGGCGCCAACCTTCTCACTCACACACACACACCATTCACATGCTGAACATACCTTGTATACCCTACCCTAACGAGCTGTATCTCTGCGAAACTCGAAAAGTATACCTTTGAACGTTTCTTCCTCCCTATCTCTCTTTTATATATATATATATATATATATATATATATATATATATATATATATATATATATATATATTCAGGTTTCGTTGAATATGACAGACAAGGTGCTTTGATAAAGTTTTTTATATAATTTCTCATGTGATCTTATATTCTTTTCTTTTCACTAGATAAATTATGTAAAAACTGTCCAAATGTTATACGCTTTCAGAGCGATTTCGGCTATACCTTTAGCCATTTTCAAGGATGAAATATATTACCTGTTAACAAGAAATAGATTGTTCTATGTATGTATCTATATAATGTTTATATTGGGTTCATGTACATAGTTGATATTAAAGAGTGTTGTTTTCTTTTGTTTTTATTAATAAGGATTCCATTATTTTTTAACATTTTTTACATGTAGACGATGCTATTATATTTGTATTATCAATTGGTATGCTGGGAATAAGGTTCATTAGGTCTTCGTGAGTATTTAAATGAGACCTAATTGAGCTATGGTCAGAAAGGTGTAGTGTGGATCTTCGTGTCAAACATGTTGTAGTGTGGCCTCATATATATATATATATATATATATATATATATATATATATATATATATATATATATATATATAATGTTGTAGTGTGGCCTATATAATTGTTTACAATTTTGATTGATCAGGAAAACAATTCCTTAATACGAATTTAAATGTCCATTAAGGAATTGTGTTCCTGATCAATCAACATGTTTATCAACATTTTTATCCTTGCTTGAACCGGCTTCTAATGCTCTGGATGGAGCGGCTTGGTGATAGTAGTCGTGGCTCGTGGGTGGCGGGTACAGTCCTATGGGTAAAAGAGAAACTCGGATGAGTTCCACCACAGAATATGTGAACGAGCGGCGCTATATCGAGTCTGATTCGCAACCTCTTCGTCGCCGAGGCCCGTTGGGACAGTTGGTATGACGTTTGCCTGATAACATAACTGACAGGGTTTCAATTCTCGGTAGTGGATGCGCGCTGCTGATGTAGTCCCAAATATAGGACGAAATGCCCGTCCAGTGCTTTCTGTTGAGGTTCCTTCTAGACTCGATGAATTACTTATATATATATATATCGGTTTTCACAGTTAAAGGTTTATTTTCACTGCTTGAAGGAAACTTTGTTGGTGGAAACCGCAGTAGCAGAAAACGTGGGTGTTTATAATATTTTAAATATTAAACAGCTCTGCACTTTCTTTTTTTTTTTGAACTGCACTGCACTTTTTTTTTTTTTAGATATAACCGTCTCCAAGACAAGATATTTATTTAAAAATATGATTCCAACACGCTACATAAGAGTTCTCATGTTTCAAAATAAGAGCCGAAAACTTCAATATAATTATTTGAATTAAAGTACTAAGCTCTGTTCCATCTTCAAGCGAAATTTTTTTTGGAATAACTTATTTCTGAAATTTACGTGTTTTATAAGCACATTCATTATTGAAATCAACATTTCTATGGTAACGGCTAGAGCAATAGTTTAAAGAAAAGGCCCGTAAGGTGTTAATAATTTGTATCAATATTTCAGTTACATTCACAAATTTCAAGTCAGGGTAAGTTTGGGATGTCTAAATTTAAAGCGGAATATGACATCGTCCAGTCTGGTTAAGTGTCTATGGAGATTTATTTATATATATATAAAGAAACAATTTATACAAAGAATTAAATAACAATCCTAATGTGATTAATGGCGAGATCACTTCGCTAACAGGACTTAATGACACATTAACTATCAATTCCTTGAATAACAGGATCCTTATATTCGAGTTGTTGTCAGATGAAAGACACATGGCATATAAGGATCTTATTATTTAAGGTTCTCTTAGCGAAATGATTCCGCATTAATCACATTAACATTGCTATTTAATTCTTTGTATAAATTGTTTTTTATGATATAAAATATAAGCTGCACACTCTAATATATATATATATATATATATATATATATATATATATATATATATATATATATATATATTTTAGTTTATGTAAAACTTAGGTAATCCGTATGGGTAGACCTGAGGAGGATGATATCCAGAGAGCTCAATGTAAAATTCAGAGCAGATATGTTTGAATAAAAGACAGACTACGTTAAGATTCCATGTAATAAGCTATTTCACCATAACCCCTTTAACAGGGTTCTGGATCATCGGACTTTACTTCCAAAAGCTGAAATGAAGAATGAAAAGAAATTCACACGTTTTTTACGGACCTCATCAAGTATACGCAAAGTTAACGAAGTGAGGAAGTGAGGTGGGAGGGAGGATATAATTTAAATAAAAACAGACCACTTTAAGGTTCCATGTAATAAATTATTTCATGTTTAATACGGCCCGTCAAAAATGTGTAAATTTTCTTTTCATTTTTTGTTTCGAAGTAAAGTCCGATGATCCGCAGTCCTTTAAAAGGGCTGTGGAAACTTACATGGAAACTTAAAGTTGTCTGTTTTTATTTAAATTATTTGCTCTGGATTTACATTGAGCTCTCTGGATTTTATCCTCCTTAGGTTCACTCATTCGGATTACCTAGTTTTTCATAAACTATATATATATATATATATATATATATATATATATATATATATATATATATATATTTGAGCAGCAATACCTCTTTTATACAAGTTTCGTTAAAAACGACGGACAAGGTATTGTAGTTACGTTTTTTACTTAATTTTTCTTGTAGTTTTTAATTTTCGGCTTTTCTGGACAGAAATTATGTCGAAATTGTCAAAATGTTCTTATGTCCGAGGGCTTTCGGTTATAATTTTAGCCATTATTAAAAAAAAATAAATAAATAAATTGAAATAAAAAAAAAATAACTTACCATCAGTACCTTGTCAGTCGTTTTAAACGAAACGTATATTTATATAAATTTAATAGATACTTATGATTAAAAAGGAATTATGAGGCAAAAAATTACTTAAGATTGAAAACAGCTTAAAATCCTCCATTTTCACATGTGATTTACAAAAATATCTACCTATATGCCTACTATATCTATATTTATGTATATGTATCTCTCTCTCTCTCTCTCTCTCTCTCTCTCTCTCTTCGTATATATATATATATATATATATATATATATATATATGTACCAGAAAATTCACACAAAATCAACAAAAAATCAAAACAAAATTCTATCGTCAAAATCTTTGTGCTGTTAAGATGGAAGATCAAATAATTTTTTAATGTAAAAATTATTTTTTTTTAAACCTTTTTAGAACCTATTTATAGAAGACTATCTTGAGAGTTTCTGATCTTTTGCGGTTTTAAATTTTGGGTTTCTGATCTTTCGGGATTTTAAATTTCGTGATTCTGATTTTGGAGATTTTAAGTTTCAGAATTCTGATCTTTCAGGATTTTAAATTTCGGAATTCTGAACTTACAGGATATTAAATTTCCGAATTCTGAATTTTCCGAATTTTGATTTTTCGGGAATTTGATTTTTCGGGATTTTAAATTTTGGGATTCTGATTTTTCCGGATTTAAAATTTTGAGATTCTGACATTTCGGGATTTTGAATTCCGGGATTATCATCTTTCGCGGTTTTAAATTTCGGGTGTTTGATCTTTCGGGATTTTAAATTTCGTGATTCTGTTTTTTAGGGATTTTAAATTTCGGGATTCTGATTTTTCGGGATTTTATATTTGGGGATTCTGGTCTTTCGGGATTTTAATTCTGATCTTCAGGATTTTAAATTTCGGGATTCAAGTCTTTCGGGATTTTATATTTCTTGTTTCGGATACATTCGGGATTTTAAATTTCAGGATTTCGACATTCAGGATTTTAAGAATCGGGATTTTAACTGAAACCAGTATATGAAATATTTTTACCAAAACGCTTCTACTCGGATTGAACACATTATAGCTAGATAATTCGCTTCTCTTAATCAACATGATTATCCGTTAGGCTATGTATCATGGGGAAAAACTTCATGTTTTAAATCTAATGTTTTTATCACTTCGTAGAGTAAATGGCTTTTGTTTTTACGAAGCAATATTTGAAAGAATAACCACCATTTTTTTTTATCGTATCAGTACATATAATTATGGATGCGTAGATAATAAGAATATTAATATTTGTGAGATTAAAATTCTAATTGAGCTTTGTCCGGCACTGGACAAAATGATTCGATGACGCAAAATAAAAAGATGGTGGTTAAAACCACTTTTCATAATTCACTTGGGAAATACCATTCCTCGTAATTCAGCTTATCTGTTCAAATGGTAGATCAAAGCTGTTACTTTTGAAGTCAAGTTGGACGGAGTCAGCTTCTTATATATAAGTTCTAGAAAATGGCTGATCTTTTTACCAAGATCCAACTAACACTATAAATAAATCGTCTGACAAAGTTTGAACTGCTGATAATCCTGAAAAGAGGATTAATATCATAATCCAAATGTCTCATTCTTTTAAGAAGGTCCTGCTTACTTTGTGTCTCCCTTTTCGCTCTTCCGTTTACTCCCGGCTTTTGAGTAAAAGAGGTTCGCACTAATCTTAGGCGAGCGGAAACATTTTAAAAAGACGTAGGATTTAATCTGAATTTGATTTATTTGAATAGAGGAATTTTATGTAAATATATACAGCAAATTATTCAAAGAGAGGTAAAAACAATACTTTTTTTAACAATTTTTTTTACTGCAAATAAATATAATCCTTCTTTTCTTTCTTTATAATTGCCGTGTCCTTTCAGGATGTAGGCGATCATGGCTCTCCACTTCCCCCTATCCTTTGTAGCTGTCAATAACCTCGTTCTGTCATCTGCTTGCTTAAGCCCGCCTGTTATATCATACGTTGCTTTCCAGACTGAAACGTTGTGAATATGGCAATGAAGATGAGGATAACAGTCCGAATAATGTAAATAATGCAAGTAATCATAATACCTCATCTCAGAGATATAGACAGATATATAGAGAAACATAGACATAAAGGCCGGAGCGTACAAAGGCCGAAACGTTGTGAATATGGCAATGAAGATGAGGATAACAGTCTGAATAATGTAAATAATGCAAGTAATCATAATATCTCATCTCAGAGATATAGACAGATATATAGAGAGACATAGACATAAAGGCCGGGGCGTACAACGGCTGAAAGGTTGTGAATATGGCAATGAAGATGAGGATAACACTCCGGATAATGTAAATAAATCTCTAAATATATAGCAGGAGCACCAAACCAGATGTAGCAGTAGTATTCAAAGAATGGTAGACTTATAAATATATAAGATAGATTCTAGAAGGAAAAAATGTGTAGCACGACACTGGAAACAAGCTTTCCTAGCAGTAGGTATAGCAATTGATGCAATATAATTTTTCATGTCAGTGAAAAACGTTAGTCAGCGAAGGCGAAATGAAGCATTCTCCTGGAAGTTAGCTTCATCCATGCTGATCGATTATTAAGACTGAAGATTCGTTTTGGAGTCGCTCGAATTAGCAGACCATTCCTTGCCATAGGGTACTTGCATTCTTTCAAGGGATATTGCATTCTTGTTTGCTTCCTCGTTGTCGGAAATTTCTTGAAAGGTTAATAATGTCGCCACTCTCAGCTGTTTCGGATTCTAGCAAAATCTAGATAAGAATATCTTCGGAAAGTTTAGCAGAGAATGGTTCAAATGAGCCACCTCCCAATGTTCTCCTGTTGGCCAAATTCTTTAGATTATTTTTAAAATACGCGGAACGTGAGACGAGTAAAAATATCATTTCAATTTGTTGCGGTTCAAGAGAATGTTTTTTTTTTTTTTTTTTTTTTTGAACTGAAAAAATTATAAGTGTTTGTGAAGTTTTAAAATCTTTATCAAACCAGTTCCGCAATTGTAAAAAGATCATTTGGTTAGAATTGAAATTTTTTTTTTTCGGAGGTTTCCACAAAAAAATAATTAAAGGGTGTTGGATTTGGAATAAGGGCTGAAGTTTAGATTTTTTTTTTTTTAATTAATAAGCAGGGGCGACCATTATAAACTTGAGAGTACTTGATTTTCCGTATTTTTGTTTTTATCTCTCCAATTTTCTCTTTGACTTTTCACTATTGATATCATGTTTCTCTCTTCTCTGTGTGTCATCATAATTCTTTCTCTCTCTCTCTCTTTCTCTCTCTCTCTTTCTCTTTTTCTCTCTTTCTCTTTCTCTCCCTTTCTCTCTTTCTTTCTCTCCCTCTCTCTCTTTATCTCTCTCTTTCTCTTTCTCTCTCTCTGATGTCTGCCACTATCATCATCATCATCTGTAACTCTTTTTCTTGGTTCTTTATTTCGCTATCATCACTATGATCATTATCTTTCTGTAGCTTATTTCTTGATCAAATCATCATCATCATCAGTCTCGTTCTCTCTCTCTCTCTCTTAGTTCTTTCCATCTCTCCTCTCTATCACCTTTTACTTTCGCCGTCATCTTCGTCATAATGTCTCTCTAGTTTCCTTCACCATAAACTCCTTCCTTTCTTTATTCTCTCTTTCTCTCTCTCTCTCTTTCTCTCTCTCTCTCTTTCTTTCTCTCTCTCTCTCTCTCTCCATCACTCTTTCTATATCTCTCCCTTTCTATCTCTAATTTTTATTATCATCAACATTATTACCATCATCGTCTTGCTTTCTCTCTCTTTCTCTCTTTGGTTACTATCTTTATCTTCCTTCCTTCCTTCCTTCCTTCTCTCTCTCTCTCTCTCTCTCTCTCTCTCTCCATCACTCTTTTATCTTTCTTTCTCTATCTCTGGCTTTTTTTTATCATCAACATTATTACCACCGTCGTCTTGTTTTCTGTCTGTCTGTCTGTCTGTCTGTCTCTCTCTCTCTCTCTCTCTCTCTCCCTTTCTCAAGCTTCTTTTTCTGCCACCCGTCTCAACTCTTTCTTTCCTTATCTTCCTTGCTATTCTCTCACCACCACCACCACCACCACCACCACCATCATCATCATCATCATCATCATCATCATCATCTCCGTCTCTTTGTTTCCCCTTCCCACACATTCTGCTCTGTTAAGAACAGCCGAAAAGATTTACAATTGGCAAAACTGGGTTAATTGATTCATAAATGGAAAACTTAATCATAAAGATGTTATTTTGTTGCCGGTTAGTAAACTGCTGCATCCGACCTGAATTCATCCAGGTGGGCGGGGGAGGGTTGGCTGGAAGAAAGATTCCCGTCGGGTGGAGGATGATGAGTTGCTAATGGTAACAATCGTATCTATCATTACTACCATAGTGAGTTCAATCCTTACATGGTGTATCGCACTGGAATCTTTATATAATACTATTTTTCTTTTTTGTTTTAAATGACATATCCATTCCGGACATGGCTCTCTACAGCTTCCTTTTTTGACAATTGCCATCTCTCTTGATAAAGTTAGTTCAGTCCGTCCTAGATATGACGATAAACGACATTCGCGTCATGGGTAAGGTGATAAACTACGTCCAACAGCAAGGCCTCTGATCAGGAGGTTCTGAAGAGCGGGGAACCACCTCTTAATTACTGATGTTCCCAGGTCCACACTGACCCAGGGTGGTAGCTATGGGCATATATTAAACCCCCCAAATTGGGGTCAAAACACTATGAAAATGTAAGAATAGGTTTTAATACCAGAAATACTTTGTAAAAAAATATTACCAGCAATACATTTTTGAAAAAGAATGATATTACCAAACTATGGTATTTTTGAAGAAAAAATATTACCAGAAATACATATTACTAGCAATAAAAAATGTGTCGGCATTAAATAACCTATTGTGGTTGATATGCCGTAAACCAAACCAAACCAACCCGATAGTTCAGTGACTTCCTATTCAATGGTTTGGAATTCAGGATTACTCTCTTCTAGACTTACTTTGACCCAAGGCCAGAGAGCCCAGTTTAACCCATGAATTTTGGGGTGGCAAGAAGAAATAGTTATTTGTACTAAAGGGAAACACGACAGCCTAGGCCCGAATTCGAACGTGTATCGTTGATTCCATTTTCCGAGTCCATAACTGTTAAGCTATAGTTTCTTCAGTGGGAGACAGAAAGATTACAGAAATCTCAAGTCAGTTAGAGTTACAGCGGAATCTAGTAGGCCTTAAACACCTGTCGGCTGTCGTATGTGATTTTTGAAGTATTTCACCCACAAACAAGGCGGGTGTGCCAGTTGCACGCAAGGGGTTAAAGAGGGGTGTTTGAGGAAAGGATAAAGAGAAGGACGGGGATCAGGATCAAGGCATCAGAAGATGTCGATTGACGTTACATTTGGATATTTGGAGATTATAGCTATCAGGGAAGCAAGTAAGAGGAAGGGAATCCCACTGTCGGGAAGTGCGATAGAAGAAGCTATTGTTTTTAATGTTCACGGAGTCTGTCTGATTCCAAAATGGTATGATATGTTGAGTTACGACTTCTAGGAATAAAGTTGAAAAAGTGTGACACACTGACATTCGCATTTATTATATAGAAGATAAATGTAACAAAATTTTAAGCTTTACATTTTTTTTTAATTTATACTTACTTTAATATCATTGGATTAAAACGTTAGATTAATAATGTTCATGGTTATTAAAAACTGTTAAGAACTGGAATCCCAATTTTCATGTTAATTTTACACCCTTGTGCAAATTAATTGAAATAAAACGAATAATTACGTTATTATTTACTTTCTTTTCGCATTTTCTCAATGAAACATGACTCAGTGTACATATTAGTACTTCGTATGTCCATTCCACAGAATCGTTCCTTGTAGATTGACCACAGATTTTCAATAGGATTTAAATCAGGAGAGTTCCTGGGCCAGTCTATAGTACTTTGATTGGGCACCTCGACGTGGTGTAATGGTTAGCAAGCTTGTCTTGCTAGATCAGTTACTACTGAAAAGTGAGTTCGAGCCTCACTGGATGCTCCATGCTTTCGGCCTTGTGCCACATCTAAGCTACGCTTGGAAAATCTTTGGGCACCTCGGTGTGGTGTAATGGTTAGCAAGCTTGTCTTGCTAGATTAGTTACAACTGAAAAGTGAGTTCGATCTTCACTAGATGACCGTACTTTCGGCCTTGTGTCACATCTAAGCTATGCTTGGAAAATAACTATAGTACTTTGATTTGCTCACTAGTAAGGCTTGCCATTGTGTTCATGCAGCGTTACAATTGAACGATGAAAATAAAATGAGAAAGATATGGTATATAATTTTGTTTTTTGCGCAGGGGTCCCTTGAGACATGTAATTTATTTTAAAGGTTACACAAGGGTAAAAATGTTGAGAAACGCTGGTCGAAACGTTTAGTAAATAGACGGAATCTGGCCAGCAAAGTCAAGCAACAAGGCTGTAACAATGCAGCAGGGAAAGTGTTGAAATGATATTTAAAAAGAAAACTGCACAGAATGCAAAAGTTATCCCCTCCATACAACAGCAGTGAGAGTTGGTTTTAAAAATAAATCATAATAACTGAAATAAGCAGCGGTTGTTTGAAATAAAATCTTTTTGGCGTTTTAGATAACCTATGACGATCAATTTAGTCAATAAAAAATTAATACCGTTGGTTGGAAAGCATTTTTCGGTAGTTTATAAGTTTTAAGCAGTATTTAACATTTAGTAAGAAGATTAAAGGGAGAGTGTATTTGACGTAAATATTAGTTATCGGATAAGGAATCATTTGACACATTTTTCCATCTATGTATTTTCGATTTTGCACGCACAGGAAAAGCTAAATCTGAGATGTTAAATGAAGGTTGCTTTATCCAACTGCGTGATCGTTTAAGGATTAAGCTGTTCAAGACATGGATTTATTTATTTTGAAAAAAAATTGAGATTATGAATTCAAAACAATGAGTAATACACAATATATAATATAAAATAATATATAAATTCACGAAGAGTAACATACAATATATAATATACAATAATATATAAATTCACGATGAATACTACACAATATATAATATACAATAACATAAATTCACGATGAGTAATATACAACATATAATATAACTAATATATAAATTCACGATCAGTAATATACAATATAAAATATACAATAACATATAACTTCACGAGGAGTAATATACAATATATAATATATAATAATATATAAATTCACGATGAGTAATATACAATTTAACGCTAGAATGATGGAAATAAGAGAATTTTATTCGCCAACATTTTAAGCATAAATTACGAATGTAATTCTAAAATCCTTCTGAAAAAATGTACCGTCATTCCCCATGTATAGTACGCATTGTTTTTCTAAAAGTATTAAGCAAAATTAGGGGTGCGTATTATGCCCAGCTACAAAAAATCTTTTAAAAATTGCCGTTTCATAGGTCGATTTCAGTTGCGAAATGACTACTCACCACAAACATACGACAATCTGACACAAAAATTCGGCGATTGCGACCCCATAAGGATGTCAAATACAATCATTTGTACCTAACAATATTTACAAATATAAAATAAGAATTATTATAAAACTAAATTAAAATAATATTATTCTATATTTAAAACCATTTTTTAAATAAGAGTAGGAAACGCTGGCTGTAATGAAATTGGAGAGGTACAATTTATAAGGTTTGATTACCAAACAAGGAGTGCGTATTAGGCATGAGTAGAAGCATTTTCCCCACACTTTCAGTACAATTTTAGGCGTGCGTATTATGGATGAAGGCGTATTATACATTGCAAATTAAGGTAATTATAAAGAAATGAATGCAAGTTACAAAGAAAAACTTCTTGTAACCGCGATAAAAATCTGCATTGCATTGTGACAATGATTTTTAAAAACGTGACCGGAAATTGATAGAAATGTAAAATGACATTAAATGTTATATGCACTTTAATACATTGTTGCTATATTTGTAAAAAATTTGTTAAGTGTTCATTGGTTCATTATGATATAGGGGGCCTCGAAAATTTGAAGTTTTTGTTTATTATTTTCCTGTTGTAAACTTTATCACAATTGTAATTTAGCCCTGATGATGATCTTAGAAAAGGTCGAATGTACTTGGATAAAAAAAATACTACACCGCCTTCCTTGAAGAATTTCATCAAGAAACTGGTTAGACAACTGGAAAGGATCAGTATAAAATAAGTAGACACATTATGTCTATATTATTCAATGATACATATATATATATATATATATATATATATATATATATATATATATAAAGATTGCATGAAAGATTGGCTGAAACAGACTGTTGCGACAAGGTGTTGACTTCAGTGTCCACTTTCATATTTATATTTACATACACTCTATCACTGGGCATTTTACGCATAAATATAGCATACCTTTAAGCCATATATATATATATATATATATATATATATATATATATATATATTATGAAATGTATTGTCCGACAGTTATTTGAACATATTTTCTGTTTATGCGTTATTTTTATAAATATAATTTATTTAATTAATTTCTTTTTTTTAATTAAACTGTATTGATTACATTTGCCGGCATGAATGTTTGAGAAATTTCGTAGAAAATAATTGCTTCTCCGATGGAAATCGAACTTGTAACATTTGATGGGGAATCTTTTGATCTGATCTGATGTGCATGTATATATATATATATATATATATATATATATATATATATATATACTAACAAATACTAAAAATATAATCTAACAGTTAAAATAAGCTAAATGCTTAAAAGCTTAAATATCAAAATAAATTGAGGGCTCAATGCCAAATTTGTCATAGCCTAAATTTACTATATAATAATATTATATAATATAAATTAATATTATATAATATACAATAATATTATTAATAGTATAATAATATATAATAAAATTATTAATATTATAATAATATTATACAATATATAATAATATTATTAATATTATAATAATATTATATTATATGTAATAATATTATTCATAGTATAATTCGATATTGATTATTGTTATTGGTTTCATATTCCCTCCGCATGATGATTGCGTTCCCGCATGAAATGCTGAGTTGCGATTTTTGATATTATTATAAAAATAGTATTATTATAATATGTGTGTGTGT